CCGGAAGTGGCGCTGTAGCTCAAGTGGTAGAGTGCTTGCTTTGAGCTGAAGAGCTGAGGGACAGCGCCCAGGCCCAGAGTTCAAGCCCCACGACCTACCAAAAAAAAACAAAATGGAGGCCATGGTGCCAGGCTTTCTCCTTTGAGATAATCTGTGGGCCTAGCAAAAGCAAGGGTTTTTTGTTGTTGTTGTTGTTTTGCACTTTTTACATTTTCAGGCATAATTATGGCTTAGTTTTTGTCTTGAGTGCTTTTTTTTTACTCTTTCCCAGCGTCCCATTTTTTTTCTTCCTGATGAGTTTGAACTCTGCTTGCTCTCTCCTCTCTGTCTCTCTCTTGCTTTGTATGTCTTGAATTCAGGGTTTCTCACTTTGGCTCAGCTTTTTCCCTCCTGGCTGGTGCTCCACCACTTGAGCCACTCCTCCAGTTCTGACTTTTTGCTAGTTAATTTCATATAAGAGTCTTAACATAATAATTTAGGCCATTTATGTTACGTTTGAATATTGCTAAAAACATGTAAAATAATTCATAATGAACACTGGATATGAATCAATGTGTCTGTCTTAAATATAACATTACTTGATGTCTGTCTGTTTGAGATAATCAGACTTTTTTTTTTTGTCGGTCGTGGGGCTTGAACTCTGGCCTGGGCGCTGTCCCTCAGCTCGTCAGCTCAAGGCGAGTGCTCTACCACTTGAGCTACAGTGCCACTTCTGGTTTTCTGGTGGTTTATTGGAGATAGGAGTCTCACAGTCTCTCCTGCCCGGGCTGGCTTTGAACCGTGATCCTCAGATCTCAGCCTCCTGAGTAGCTAGGATTGCAGGCGTGAGCCACCAGCACCCAGCTGAGATAATCAGACTTTTAAAGGTGGAATCTAAACTCACTTGAAAACAAATTTTGAGGTGCCATAAAGAAGCAAGATATATTAATCATAATTGTTAGCATACTTGTTGGTTTTATTCCATTTCTGGAATATTAATTTTGGGCTTAGCTGTAATATTTTCAGAAAATTACACATTTAGATAATTACCAAAAGGGATATGAAGAATGCCTAGTAGTTAAAATTTTAGAGCACTCTTACCTTAAATTCTCTAGACAATCATGACAGTGGAATTACTTCATTGCTATTGCAGCTAAAAAAGAGTCAGGATGGCAAGTCATTCTAAAATCTGTCTACTCACCACAGTAAATAGATTTATCTGTTCAGATGTTATATACTCATGAACAGACTATTACTTGTAGTAGAAGTGTTTTGATCAATTTTGAGTACTTGTGATCCAACAGCTATGACAACAGTCTTCAAAAATCTGTCCTCAAGCTTGTACTTTAGATTGTCGTTTTCTCATCTGGCTAAAAAAGTTGGCTTTTTTCTTTAATTTTTTTATTGGTACCATTGGTAATTCTAGTTCATTAATCTACTAAACACCCAGGCTTGAAATACAGGATAGGGAGAAAAGTTCCCACCATGGATTCCACCACCAAATTGTCCTTCTGGTCTTGATATTCCTAAGTACATCTACTTTGAGGCTTCCTAGAGTTTCTGTGTATGTTTCAGTGCAAGTATCTAGTTGTAGTTTTGGGAGTAGATAAGGTGAAGTATAGTAATCATTCAAAGTCTGAATCCTCAGTTTTCTTAAAAAAATTTTTTTTGTGTGTGTGTTGGTGCTGTTGTTTAAACTCAGGGTCCCATGCTTGCTATGTTGCTTTGTGGCTGATTCATACCTCTAGTCCTGTTTTTCACTTGTGGATAAGGCTCTTCCTATCCATCTACTTTACAAGGCTCATTATTGCTGATAGTGCTGCTGCTTCTAGCTTTCTAGATGGAGAGGTAGTCTTTTCTACCCAGGCTGGCCTGGGACTGTGATCCTTCCAATCGTAGCCATCAGTGTAGCTTAAGATATCATGTACTCTCCACTGTACTCAGTTCTAGGTTAGAGGGGTCTCTAGAACTTTTCTGCCCAGGCTGGCCTTAAACCATGATCTTCCTGTTCTTAGCTCCCTAAATAGCTAATATTAAAGGTCTGAGTTACCAGTACTGATTTACGTCTTTGTTTGTTTTTTGAAATAGGTTCTACAACCCTTTTTGTAGATCATTACTAAATGACATAATATTTTGTTCTTTGCAGAAATCCCAGAGTGAGGAAATAACTGACATAGCTGATAATGTGTACACAGGTGGAACTGAAGTGACTGCACCATTTTTGTGTAAGTCTGAAGAACCTGATTCCGCCATCAAACTTACTAGCTTACCACCTGTTTCTTCTGGGACTGCCAATAAACCTGTAGATTTATCTACTGCAAAGGAAACTGATCTAAAACCTACAAGTGAAGGTAAAACTGATACATTTAAATCATACATTGGATGAGATATGTCTGTCTGTTTGAGATAATCAGACTTTGAAAGGTGGATTCTAAACTCACTTGAAAACAAATTTTGAGGTGCCATAAAGAAGCAAAATATATTAATCATAATTGTTAGTATACTTTGTTGTCAAAGACAGTCAACATTTTTAATTGTTAGACTTGTGATGGCAGGAATACAAAAAAGCATTGGGATTCTGACCTGTATCTGAGCATAAAAGACAAATTTGGTTACACAGTAATTTTTTGTGTGTATGGTTTTTACTTGACAACTGTTTGAAATTTATTATATCACCATTCAAGTATAGTCTTTTTAGTTATTTGGGAGAGTTAGTATATTAGAAGTTAAAAAATTTTGTGTCTTTTCAATGCCTCAAAGCTTATTTTAACTCTTCAATTATAGTAAATAATATTTAGAATTACTGTTTCTGAAGTGTAGGAAGTATCTTTAAATTGTATTGCTTAATACCACTATATTGTGTACATTATTTTTCAGAAGTCCTAAACTTCTGAAAATTTAGACCCTTTAGAGCCTTAAATATGCTAGAAGAGGAAAGTATCTTTAAATCTGTACTTATAGTAATTTTTAAGTAGAGAATTTGAAAGACAATGGTAAAATTCAGACAAGACTCCATGTGATGGCCTAGTTTAAATGGTATATTTGGTTTTATAAGCTTATATATAGTATGGAACACTAAATCTTTTTACAGAGATGTTTCCTAAGATCTTGCCTCTGATTATTTGTTTTAGGGAATAAGGTTTGGTGTAAAATGGGATCTACATACCTCTATCCCACTTTTGTATAGATTACTCCTCATTGCTATTTGTCATGCTTTTGGCATTAGTATTTTGAGGAGAAGTAGTTTCTGTCAAAGTAATGTTTCTTAAAATCACAGAATTGGATGTGTTTTGTCACTTAACCAGAATATAGATGCTACCCTTCATCACCCTGTAGTATAGAAAAGTCCTCCTTTTCTTTTTTGGTTCTGGATAAAGCTTTGATGTTCAATATACCTTAATTATTGTGAATTGAAATTTGTAGACATAATAAATTCTTTTTCTTTTGCCAGTGGAAAGCAAAACAGTTTCATTTGGATTTGGAAATAGTACAGGGCTGTCATTTGCGGACTTGGCTTCCAGTAATTCTGGGGATTTTGCTTTTGGTTCTAAAGGTAAGATCTGGAGGAAAAATTTTAATGATCATTTTAGAAATCAAGTGCAACTGATGGTCCTTTTTACAGTGTTTTGAGTATAAGCAAAATGCTACTTTATTAGTTTTTTAATAATGAAGTGCTTCTATATCCTGTTACTAAAAAATATAACTATAGGAATTGTCTCATAATTTAATGTGGAATACTAAATTATGTGATAGTCCATTCCATCCTGAATTGCAGATCTACTTTTGAGTTTCACAGTAACCTTGATTTGGTAGCTTTGGTCTTTTAGCTATATCTACTTTTAGTTTGATTTGCTAATATTTTAAGATTTTTGAATATACATTGTTTTAAGCAGATAATTTGGATTCAGTATTAGCTGCACTAATTTATTAAAGTAATGATATAACTGATATATCTTCTTGATCAATGGTGCTTCTACTTTTGTTTGGGTTTTTTTTTTTTAACTGTATTTTTTTTGTCTTTTCTTTTTTGGTACTGGGGATCGAACCCAGGACGCTGCGCTTGCTAGGCAAGCGCTTTGCCACTGAGCTACATCCCAGCCCTGGTGCTTCTACTTTTAATCCATTTTGGATTACATTTATTTAAGAAATATAGAAATAGGGGCTGGGAAGGTGGCTCAATGGTAGAGCGCTTGCCTTGCATGCCTGAGGCCGTGGGTTCAATTCCTCAGCACCACATAAACAAAAAGAAAAAAGCCGGAAGTGGCACTGTGGCTCAAGTGGTAGAACGCTAGCCTTGATCTGAAGAGCTGAGGGACAGTGCCCAGGCCCAGAGTTCAGACCCCAGGACTGGACCCTAAAAATAAAAATAAAAAAAGAAAGAAATATAGAAATAATCATTATTTCCTTGTATCAAGTTTAGAAGCATAAAGTTGTTTGTTATATATTCTCATAGTATTTTTTTGTACCAGTACTGGGCTTGGACTCCGAGCCCTATGCTATTGCTTATCGCTCAAAGTTGGTGCTTTGTCACTTAAGCCATAGCTCCACTTCTGGGTTTTGGTGGTTAATTGGAAAAGTCTCATGGACAGACTTTTCAGCCTGGGCAGTCTTCAAACCATGATCCTTAGATCTTAGCCTCATCAGTAGGTAGTTAGTGTTACAAGTGTAATCCATCAGCACCTGGCGTCTCTTGTCCTTTATATTTGTGCCACCTAAATTGCCCTTATTAAAGATGCTTAAATAATTTAAATTCCTATTGCTGTCACATATTTACAAGGTTCCTCCTCCCCCCCTTTTGGGTGCTGGTCTGACGGCTTGAACTCAGGGCCTGGGCACTGTTCCTGAGCTTTTCTGCTCAAGGCTAGTGCTCCACCATAACTATTGCTTTTTGGTAGTTAATTGGAGATAGGAGTCTTCATGGCCCAGCTGGCTTTTAATTGTGATCCTTAGATTACAACTTCCTTGGTAGCTACCATTACAGACATAAGCCACTGGCACCTGGCTTCATATTTACAAGTTTTACAGTTCTTACTACTTATGGTAACAAATTAAACATTAAGAAATAACTTTTAAGTGTTACACTATGGTATAGTTGATGGTTTCACTTATATCAAGTTTTTTGTTTTTGCTTTAACCTTCACAATACCTTGTGATCAAAGGTAGTAAATGAACAGATACAGAAAACAACAGTTATGTGTTTATTTGGTTTAAAAAATGCCAAAGGAAAACTGCTGTGCTTATTGTTCCTGTGAGTATCCCAATTACTATATCAGACTTATACACTAGTATGAAGCCCAAAAGACTCAACTATTACAGGGAGTTGTGTTAGGCTTTTGTGTTACTCTGCCCAAATTCTTGATATAAGCAACTTAAGGGAGCAAGGACTTATTTTATCTCATCGTCTCATAAGATTCAGTCTGTAATGGTGGGGAAGGGCATGATAAAGCAAAACAGTTTAATTTACATTATGGTGGACAGGCAGACAGAAGGAGCTAGGATAAGATATAGTTGCCAAAACATCCCATGGCCTCATTTCTCCATCAAGGCCTAATCTTCAGTCTCTTACCACCTCCTTATAAATGCCACCATAGTATGACTCCTTGAAGGGATTAATCCATTTGTTCACTAGATCAGAGCTCTTGTGATCTAATTGTCTGTCAACTAGACACACTCATAGGTATACTTTTTACTAATCTAAGTATCTCTTAATTCAATCAAATTGATAATCAAAATTAGCCAACACAGCAGGTGCCTTGCCTTAACAATCTTTACCCATTGCAGTCTCTCCTCAGCACCACTTTTCTTTACTAGGGAGATTAGTCACCAAGCTCTTTTTTGGGGGGGGGAGGGTGGCAGCGGTTATGGGGCCTGAACTCTGGCCTGGGCGCTGTCCCTTAGCTCTTCAGCTCAAGGCTAGTGCTCTACCACTTGAGCCACAGCACCACTTCTGGCCTTTTCTGCTTATGTGGTGCTGAGGAATCAAACCCAGGGCCTCTCTTGCATGAGAGGCAAGCACTCTTCCACTGAGCCACCTTCCCAGTCCTCACCAAGCTGTTTTAAATTTACTTGTTTTTTTTGTTTTGTTCTTCAGGTTCATTAGGGACTTTTGAAGATATACTTAGCCGTTCAGTGAAGCAGCTTTTGATTTGATTACTTCTCAGTTTTGTTTGTACATTTTTGTAGCTTCGATTGCTTTTCTCTGGATTTGTTGTATGGTAAATACTCATAGATTGCATTTGCTAAAAAAAAAAATAGATTGAATTTTTAAGTCCTTTTCAATTTTGCTCCTATATATAGGAATTAAAATTGACACAACAATTCCACTTTGAATGTTCAAAGTTATCTAAGACCATAGATTCCATACTTAAATACTCTAATTTATTCAACAGATAAAAATTTCCAGTGGGCAAATACTGGAGCAACTGTGTTCGGAACACAGACAAAAGGGAAAGGTATTGAAGATGAGGATGGTAGTGATGAAGAAGTTGTTCATAACGAAGACATCCATTTTGAGCCAATAGTCTCACTACCAGAGGTATTGTTAAGTATTGAAAATTGCATTAAAACACTTATTTTCAGGTTGGAGTTTAAAATGTACTCTGGCTTATGTTTATTGTCTGTATTTCTTTCTGAATATTTACAATTTGAAATGGAAGCCCTATTTGTAAGATTCCAGTCTTAATTATATATTACTTTAAATGTGTTTGTGTTTGATGCTGGGAGTTAAACCTAGGACTTTGTCCATGTTATGCCTGCATTCTACACAGCTGCACCCTTAACCTTGTCTTGAAGGTGGTTTTTTTTGTTGGTGGTGGTGTTTTTGGGCTGCCTTGGGCTTGGGTGCTGTCTCTGGCTCAAAGCTAGTGTTGTACTAATTGAGCCACAGCTCTACGTCTGGCTTTTTTTGGAGGTTAATTGGAGGTAAGAACCTCATGGATTTTCTTACCCAGGCTAGTTTTGAACCATGATCCTCAGATCTCTGCCTCCTGAATAGTTAGGATTAAATATGTGAGCCACCAGTGCCCGGCAGAAGAAACATTTTTATATCCTGTTAGGATATGTTTTGTTTGCATAATATAATTCTGAGGCCAGAAGTCAACTTGCAAAATTCCTAGGCAAGGAAAATTATCCTTTTTAAATTTTAATTGGTAGTTGATATTTCCCTTTGAGAATCAGTACTAGACCAGTTAGAGTAACTTGAGTTGTTATCCTAGCTACTGAGGAAACAGAGATTGAGAGAATAATACTAATAGAGTATTACTGACAACAAGTTGGCCTGACCCAGTCTCAGCTGCAAGCCTACATAATGGCACACACACTGGTGATTCCAGCTTCCGAAGGAGTTCATAGGTAGGATTTAGTTTGAGGTTGGTGTTTGGTAAGTATTTGAGAACCTAGCTGAAAAACAATGCAAAAAAAATTAACAATGTGCTTTTAGGGGTGTGGTTGAAGTGGTAAGATTACCTCCCTAGAAAATGTAGGTTCCAAATTCCAGTACTGCCAAAAGCAAAACAAAAAAAATGAACCACTACTTTTGAAGCCTCATCTAACCTGGAAAGGAGGCAGGCAAAATATACTTACTACATAATAAAGAAAAATACTTAATGACAAAGCAGAGCTCAACTGCTTCAACCAAATCAACTATATTTCTAGTTCTGGGATAATCTCCCACAATACTATACAACTTGTTAGCTTTATTATAAAGAAATAGGTTAAAAATATGGGATTTGAATATTATAAATACCAATTTATAGGTAATCCTATTTGTTTTCATAGGTAGAAGTCAAATCTGGAGAAGAAGATGAAGAAATTTTATTTAAAGAAAGAGCAAAACTTTATAGGTGGGATAGAGATGTTATTCAATGGAAAGAACGTGGTGTAGGAGACATAAAGATTCTTTGGCATACAATGAAGAATTATTACCGGATCCTGATGAGAAGAGACCAAGTCTTTAAAGTGTGTGCAAACCATTTTATTACCAAAACAATGGAATTAAAACCTTTAAATGTTTCAAATAATGCTTTAGTTTGGACTGCTTCAGATTATGCTGGTGAGTTTCTACTCTCAATTGTTATTTTCTTATTTCTTTTCTTTTCGTTTTTTTTTTGGTCAGTTATGGGGCCTGAACTCTGTGCCTGGGAGCTGTCCCAGCTCTTCAGCTCAAGGCTAGTGCTCTACACTTGAGCCATAAGGCCCTTCTGGCTTTTTCTGCTTATGTGGTGTTGAGGAATTAAACCCAGAGCCTCATGCAAGGGAAGCACTCTACCACTGAGCCAACTTCCCCCTCCCCTTTCATTTCTTTTCTTTTGAAGTTTTCTAAAATCTTTTACAAAAACATAAGTGATTTTGATATTAAGGTTGTTTTTCTTTCAATAGATGGAGAAGCAAAAATAGAACAGCTTGCAGTGAGATTTAAAACAAAAGAAATGGCTGAGTGCTTTAAGAAAAAGTTTGAAGAATGTCAACAGAATTTATTGAAACTTCAAGGACAAGTATCATTGGCAGCAGAGTTATCAAAGGAGACCAATCCTGTGGTATTTTTTGATGTTTGTGTGGATGGTGAACCTCTAGGCCGTATAACCATGGAATTATTTTCAAACATTGTTCCTCTAACTGCTGAGAACTTCAGAGCACTGTGCACTGGAGAGAAGGGCTTTGGTTTCAAGAATTCCATTTTTCACAGAGTAATTCCAGATTTTGTTTGCCAAGTAAGTATAAACTATGTATCACAGTTTTAAAGCCTGAAAGAGTTACACTAAATTGGCAAATTTCACTGTTTCTTCTTGATCTCATTCTGGCCTTTTTTAAAAAAAAAATTTCTTTAGCTTTCTTATCGAACACTTAGCATTGGTACTCAACTATATCCTTTGTTAAAACTGGAAGGATTCACATTTCTAATAATTGAAGATTGCTAGAGACTGGGTCTTTTTATTTTTTACCTTTAGAAAACAAATATTTTAGTTACCAAATTGTATTTGTACAAAAATTCAGATGTTTGGAATTTATCCCATAGTGATGCTTTTTTTGTGTATAAATATTTTACTATGGATTCTTATTACTTGAAATCCTTTTTTTTTCCCACCAGGGGGGAGATATCACCAAACATGATGGAACTGGAGGAAAGTCCATTTATGGAGATAAATTTGAAGATGAAAACTTTGACGTGAAACACACTGGTCCTGGCTTACTTTCCATGGCTAATAGAGGCCGGGATACCAATAATTCTCAATTTTTTATAACACTGAAGAAAGCAGAACATTTGGACTTTAAGCATGTAGTATTTGGGTTTGTTAAGGATGGCATGGATGTTGTAAAAAAGATCGAATCGTTTGGTTCTCCCAAAGGGTCTGTTAGTGGAAGAATTAGTATCACAGAATGTGGACAGCTATAAAAAAATCATTGCTTTTCATAGTAAATTTTATCTGTATAAGCAGTTGAATTGAAGCTTAACTGTTAAAAAAATATGGTAATTATGTTCAGCTTTTGAAAATGGACGTTTCCAGTGTATAAATGTAAAATTGCAGCTTATAGCTGTTGTCACTTTTTAATGTGTTATAATTGACCTTGCATGGTGTGAAATAAAAGTTCAAACACTGGTGTATTTCAGGTGTACTTGTGTTTATGTACTCCTGACACAGTTGTATTAAAACGGATAATACTAATCTTGTTAAAAGCAATAGACCTTCCCAGACTATTGAAGAAATATGATATATGCAATTTTAATTCCTTTTTAAGATACTGGGACTTCCTGCATGACTACACCTACCATTTGAATAAAGGGACCATAACTTGGATAATTTTATTTTAGATCTGAAATATATTTGGTAATCTTAACTATTGGTGTGCTTGTTTGTGCATAGAGACTCATTTATAAATGGGTAGAGTCACAGAAGGTAGAGAGTTAACCAAAGTGCTCTTCTGTAATCTTTATGCCTCCTGTATAGGTACAAATTAACTTTTAAATAGAATTTTCTCTTTTCTTAAAACATGTAGCTTCCTGTGCTCTCTTGAAGGTATTGATTTTTACATTTTAATTTTTTTGTTTTATATTTTACTGTCATCTGTCTCTACTACCTCAGAAACTTCAGCTTGGTTCTGATAACAGAACTGAATTTTTCCCTAGTTATTGTGATAAAGTATGAATATTTTTACAAGGTCTATACCACATTCTTTGGTTAAAAGATTTGCATTATATTAGATTGTTGCAGTACCTTTTTCTGGTGAATTTTGTAGCAAAAATAAAGTGATAATTGATAACAACTATGATATTTTAAAAAATTATTTGTGCATCTAGTCTGTTCATTCTAGTACTATGCATAAAGTAAGGAGGACAGTTAAAAGAAGGTCACTAAACATTGACCACATAATTTTCACATTTGATAAACCCCAAAAATGTATTTGGAAATGACTGTCAAAAGTTAGGCAAATTAAAGAGGATATTCTCATTGGCATTCCTAATGTAGAAGTGCAAAGAATCTAGACAGCACAAAAATTTCTATATTGCAATCATGGGTATCGACTACCTTTTACTCTATTCTTTCCAGTGAAAATAGCTCATTTTGTTTAGTGAGGAAAGCCAATGCGGATAATTCCTTTTTAATGCTGATTTGAAAATAGAGTTTAGTGAATTATCTGTTCAACTACCAGTGAGACAGTATGATGTGTGGTCTGTGCAACTAGTGATGGAATACCTTTGGTAAATCATCTTAGCCACAAAGCCTAGATTCCTGAAGTAACTATTCCCAAGTGTATCTGTGGAACTACTTGAACCTCAGAGAATGGTGGATTGCGTATATGCACATTTAGTGTTTAGAATTGTCTTCTTTGGAAACCTATGTAATATAAATGGATGTAAAAATTATATTGTAAACTTCAGCTGAGATGGTTAATACCATTATGATTTTAGAATAAATTCTAAGTAAAAGCAAATGTTTTTTTAAAGAGATGTTTTACAGATTTTATGCTATCCTAAATTATTAAATTTATTAATTAAAAAGCTTTAAAAACTTTAGCCAAAAATTTGATGAGGTGTGATGTGTAAACTGACTTTTCTGGTATGAGTATTCCAAAGATGATTAAAAGCAGCTTGAAGCATTTATAGGAACATCTTTGTGTCACATTTCAGGAAACAACTTTGTGATGTTTGTTAATCGCTAACATGGTATATACCTAACATTGATAATGTATTTTTTTCAAACTGGCTGGATTTTATATTGTTTCATTAAAATCTGCTTAAAGATAAAGTAATTCACTGTTTATGGATTTTAAGTAATAATTTACAGCAAAAAGCACTGTACTGATTATATTTTAGGTAGAATCTTTGCTGTCCATCCTCCTGCTAAAGTATTGATCTCGTAATAAAATTAGGACATTTGTATATTTAAAAAATAATCCAGACAATTTAGTTGTTAGTACAGGGAACTCAGAAGAGGGGTTACACAAATGTAAAATGTATGAATCAAAGATATTAAAGTGTTTGAACAACCGTTCCCCTTAGTGTCTTAAGTTTTTAGGTTGATATGCTATATAGACATCGGGGCACTGTTGTTGCTGAGAAAGCTTCCCTTTAAAAACAAAGTGGATGTTTTCTCAAGCAGTTGAATTTCTAATACTTTTAAGTACCCCTTTATACCACTTTTGGAAACGGCAAGGAATTAACAGGCAATTTTTCTGGCAAAAAGCACACCAAAGCTACTAGGCAGCTCGGCCCTTGGGCCAGCATGCTGCTGTTGGGTTCCAAACCTGTCTTCCGGCGGCACCAATCCCGGCCCCTCGGGCGTGCAGCTACCAACCCAACTGCTGGGGGGCGGCGCCGGCCCGGGGAGATGGAAAGGCAATTGTCACTTATGAAGTCATCCGCAGGGGGGAAAGAGTGGACACTCAGTAAACGCACCCACTTGGCCGCGGAATCAGCTGACTGGTAATGCTAGGCGCGAGTTCCAACCCCTTCCAGTTGGAGCGTAAACCACGACGCTCCATGATGCATTTGCTCTGCGCGATTCGCGCCGCCACGCACGGCCGCTCGGCTGTCCCCGCCCCCTGGAGGGTGTGGCCGGTGCGCCTTGACGCACGGCGTTGCGCGAGCCCCGCCCCTCCGCGACGTGTTAGCGCGTTTGAAAGCAGTTCCCCTGGAGACCGCTGCTGCACCGGCGTGCTATGGAGCCGAGGCTAGTCAAGCCGCCTGGACAAGATTTAGTTGTTGAGCGTCTCAAAAGCCAGTACGGACTTAGGGGCAACTGTTCCAGCGAGGTGAGACTAAAGGTGGTCTTCGCGTAGGGGGTGGTGGCTGTGAAGACTTCGCCGCGGCCCTCATGGGCTCCCAGGCGCTCTCCGGGCCTGTCCTCACGGGCCGAGTGCTGCTTAGGAAAGCCTTGCTTTCCCTCGGGAAAATTCCATCACTATAAACTTTCTGGGACTTACCACGAAAGTAGTGTTGAGTGATACCAGCGAAGCACGGAAAACAGGAGGCTTTTATTTTGAAGTAACTACCAACTTAGAGAAAATTGAGTAGCTCGAATTTTTCTCGCTATCACTTGGATTTACCAGTTAATGTTTTGCCTCATTTGCCTTACCGGCTTCACTGCATCCACATATTTTGCTCTCTGAGGGTAATTTACTGGCTCTTTTACTCCTACATAAATAAGTTTGTCTTAGGAATAAGGGCATTCTAATATATCTTCTAACAAGATAGTATATATCTTCTAATACATTTTCAGGAAACCTTTTATTGGTACAGTACTCTAAAGGTCATGTTCAAATTATACTAATTATCTCAATTATGGTTCTTTTCAGAAAACATTTTGGTGGGGTGCTGGTGGCTCACGCCTGTAATCCTAGCTACTCAGGATGCTGAGATCCGAGGTCACAGTTCACAGCCAGCCAAGGCAAGAAAGTCCATGAGACCATTATCTCCAATTAGCCATCTCCCCCCCCCAAAAAAAAAAAATCAGAGTTGAGCTGCGGCTCAAGTGGTAGAGCACTATCCTATAGCGAAAAAGCTAAGGGGCAGCACTCAGGCCCGAGTTCAAGCCCAAGTACTGGTACATTTTTAAAAAATTGGTGCAGGTAAAAAAATTCCAAGAATAAACGTTTCATTTGGTTCTCTTGCAGCCTTTACTACAACAGAACTTCAGTCTTTGTTTTACATAACAAAAATCTTTTGTGAATTTTAAGATGATTTATTAGAGTAGCCCTCAGTTCAGATTTTTCTGATGGGTTACTCTTTATTGACTCATTATTTTGTGTGTATGTATGTGTGTATGTGTGTGTATGTATGTATACTGCAGCTTGAAATCGGGCTCAGGTGCTATCCCTTAGCTTTTTTGGCTCAAAGCTAACTAACGATTTGCCACTTGAGCCATAGCTCCACTTCCAGCTTTTTGTGGTTAATTGGGAGATAAAAATTTCTCAAACTTACCACCAAGGCTGGCTTTGAACCTCTATCCTCAGATCTCAGCCTTCTGAGCAGCTAGGACTACAGATGTGAGCCACTGAAACCTGGCTGGTTATACATTTTTGGTAGGAATATAATATAGTGAAGTTTGGATTGCTCTGATGAACCAAAAGGTATATAATGTTGGCTTGCTTTGCTATTGGTGTTTTTCATAGTGACCGCTTGGTTATGGGGGTGTCTACTATATGTCTCTACATTAACCTTTGTAATGTATAATTTGTGGAAAATATTTTGAGAGAATAAATTCATTCTTTCATATAACCTCTCTCTCTCTCTCTCTCTCATTTTTTAGCATGACTTTTCAAATTTTGATCAGGCTAAATATAAGAGAAGATCTCTGATCTCCCCAGGTAAGATATTTGAGTGTTTTTAACAAGTCAATTTGAGGCAAAAGATTTTTTTGGATGTGGTTAGTGATAGACTTATGGTACTGTTTTCAATCTGGTAATAAGATAATAGCAATCAAGATTTTGGAAATAAATGTGTACGATGTCTTTAAAAATCAAAGTTAATAAGTCTCTTATTATGTATGTTGGCTTTTCAATTGCAATATATCTAGCTTCCCTTCCATCCCTATACCAAGGCTGGGGTTCAAACTCAAAGCGTCGCTTACGTTAGGCATGAGTAGTCTCTACTACTGAGTTACATCTACAACTGATAATGTCTGCTTTTGAAGATGTTAAAAATTGTAATATATTGAGTAAAGAAAATTGATTGCTATTTTCAATCATAAATTTTATGTTCTATTATAACAGGGATTGATCAAGTACTTGGAAAAGATAATTGTAATGTAAGTTTAGGTTAGTTAATAATATCTTTGGTAATCTGCAGCATTATTGCTATGGTAATATGTATTGAACTTAATATACTTATATATATATATATATATGTATATATATATATATATATTTTTTTTTTGCCAGTCCTGGGGTTTGAACTCAGGGCCTGGGCACTGTCCTTGAGCTTCTTTTGCTCAAGGCTAGCACTTTACCACTTGAGCCACAGTACCATTTCTTGCTTTTTCTGTTTATGTGGTACTGAGGAATCAAACCCAGGGCTTCATGCATGTTAGGCAAGCACTCTACCACTAAGCCATTCCCAGCCCTTGTTAATACTTTTAAATGATTTTTTTTCCACTAGTAAAACATACTAATCATTAAATGTTAGGAGAATTGAAAAAGACTATCTTTAAAAGTTTAAAAATCTGGACAGAGCCGGGCACTGGTGGCTCACGCCTGTAATCCTAGCTACTCAGGAGGCTGAGATCTGAGGATCGCGGTTCAAAGCCAGCCCGGGCAGGAGAGACCTTGAGACTCCTATCTCCAATAAACCACCAGAAAACCGGAAGTGGCGCTATAGCTCAAGTGGTAGAGCACTTGCCTTGAGCTGAAGAGCTGAGGGACAGCGCCCAGGCTCAGAGTTCAAGCCCCACGACCGACAAAAAAAAAAACAAAAACAAAAAATCTGGACAGTGATGATTTATGCCTATTATCCTAGCTTCTCAGGAGACTGAAATTAGAGAATTGGGTGAGGAGCCAGATTCAGTTAACCTGCAAAGAACTGAAGTGGAGGTGTGACTCAAGTGGTCAGGCACAAGATGTGAGTGGAAAAATCCTGAGGCCCTGAGTTCAAGTCATAGTACCAAGATAGATATACACGGTTTATCAGGTGGTTGGTTAGGTTTTCATATTTCATTTTGATATCCCATTTATTATCATATTTCATTATTTCATTTTTAAGTTTTGGGATCTTTTTTTTTGACTTTTTGTGAAAATACTGTACAGAGGGGTTACAATTACATGGGTAAGATAATGAGTACATTTCTTATCAAGCATTGTAGCCGCCTCCTTTGTTTACCATTCCCATCCCTTCCCATCCTCCCCCTGCCCCCCCACTAAAGTTGTAAAGTTCATTTTCGACATAACAACTTGTATATTTCATTGTTGCAATGGGTCCACCTGTAAATTTTTGGGATCATTTTTAAATTTTTATTTAATGACAGTGTCTTTTATGTGGCCTAGGCTGACCTTCAACTTACAGTCATCTTGACTCAGCCTGCTGAGTGCTGGGATTGCAGGTGAGCACCATCATGCCTGAACATTTTTTTTTTTTTTTTGCTAGAGATTGACTTTAGGATCTCAAGTTTGGAAAGTACTTTACCATTTTAGCCACAGCCTCAGTCTTTTTGCTTTTAGTTTGACTTTTAGATAGAGATTTTACTAGTTTTAACCTGGATTGGCCTCAAATCACAACTCCTGCCTTCTCATCCAGAGCAGTTACAATGATAGGCATGCCCCACCATGCCTGGCCCCATTTTGAAATTTTATTCATTTAATTATATTTTTATTATCTTTAAGTAGTTGTATAAAGGGTTTACCATTCCCATTTGAAGTATTAGGTAATGTAACTTATGTATAGATATTTCTTTTGGTGGGTTATCTCAGATAATTGGTTTAGTAAATCTGTTTTGTTTTAAATTGGAATGGGTTGAGTTGAAAAATACTCATTCAAGAATGAGGAAGAGTTCTAGATTGTTAAAAACATTCTTAATAATATCAAACTTCAGTTTGAGATTTGTACTAAAACCTTTAAACTTCCAAGAGAAAAAAACCTTAAAAATTATAGTCCAAAGGGTGAACAAATGCAGCAGTGGTACTCATTTATACATTATGTTGAAAATGAACTATGTAACTTGTGGGTGAGTACAAGTCAGGAGACTGGGAGAGAATGAGACATTGTACAAAAAGAAACGTACTGGGTTGGGAAGGTGGCTCAGTGGTAGAGCGCTTACCTCCCCTGCATGAGGCCCTGGGATTGATTCCTCAGCACCACATAAGCAGAAAAAGCTGGAAGTAGCACTGTGGCTCAAGTGGTAGAGTGCTACCCTTGAGCTGAAGAGCTGAGGGACAGCACCCAGGCCCAGAGTTCACGCCTCACAACCAACCAACAAAAAACAAAACAAAACAGAAAAACGTACTCACTACCTTACTTATCTAACTGTAACCCCTCTGCATATCACTTTTACAATAACAATAAAAATTAAAAATAATTACATCCCATTAAATTTTTGAGGCATAGATATGAATGTCAGAGGAAGGAACATACATTTGCCAGATTATCTATAGTAGGTTTTTATGTTGCTGTGATCAAATACTTAAGAAAAGCAGCTTAAAGGAGGAAAGATGTATATTGGCTCACGATTTTCAAGAGTTCAGTGCTTGGAACAGAGCATCATAATAATAGGAATTTGTAATTGAGGAGAGATGTTAGAATGGAAGTAGAAATAGGAAGCAGTCATGCACAAGAGCCTCCCAAGGACCTGCCTCTACTGACATATTTGCTCCCATCATCCGAATCTCCCCTCTTGGTTTCCAGAGCCTCCCAAAATAGTGCCACAAGCTGAGGACCAAATTTTGACACATGAGCCTGAGAGGGGACATTTTATATTCAATCATAACAGTATCTGAATTTTTTGTCGCAGTTTTCATTTTTATTTTTTTTAGCTATAGAGGCTTACAGTTAAGACAAATGGGGACGTGAGGAAAGAAGGGTAGATTTTGGATTTTAGTCTGGATTCTGAATTTCTAAGTAACATACCTAGTAATTAGGTTACTTGGAAAAGTTCAGTTCTTTGCTATTTTCCTGTTCCATAGGATAGGATTGAAGACACTTATTTTACCTGCTTCACAGAGACAAATAAGTTAATAATGGAAAAAACATTTTGTAATCAAGGAAATACTGTATAAATATAAAAATTGATGTCTGATCTATATGCTTTCATTAGGGAGACATGGAGATAAGTCATTCAGTGATGTTAGTATCTTACCTTTAGGAGACTAGAATGAGAGAATTAGTTGATATCAGTATAAATGTTTTTAATTGACAGATTTGGATATCTACTCTTCTGGAGATAAGATTGGTTCATCATTAAGATGTTATTCAGATGAAAGAATGAATTATTCAACACCTTTTTGCAGTTCATTTAAACACTTAAATATGAATGGGTAAAGTATTCTGAATTCTTAATGTTATTATCTTCTGAATAAAGGAAATATTTATGTACTCCTTTCCTTGAGAGGAACTATATGCAATCTGGATCCCACTGAATAGCTAAAGAGACTCACTCACTTACAGAGTTTATCTTGGAAGACCTGTTTACTTTCTTTAGAAAGATATAGAACTGTAATATGAGACTTCAGGCAACTCTTTGTCTGTTGTATGTCTTGGAATGTGGTAAGCATGAGATAGTTGGGAGAGAGATTGAAAAGGAGACTGTAATAAGAAAATATATATCTTTACATTGCTGGGTTGTTAAATGAAGTTTCAGTTTTGTAAAGGACTTTAATATTTACAGATAAAATCAGTATAAAAACAATTGGAGCAAATGTGAAATAATGTGAGTGTAGTGGGGGAGGTGTATGTGCCCATGCTCATGTCAGTGCACGAGTGTGCACATGTGTGTGTGCGTGCACATGTGTGCGTGTGCTTGTGCGCAGGATACACCCATGCATGTGTCTCTGTGCCTCTTTGCCTCTACGTGCCTGCCTGTCTGCCTGTCTACTGGAGCTTGAACTCAGACCATGGGTGCTGTACATTAGTTTTTCTGCTCTATCACTTGAGCCATAGCTCCACTTTAAGTTTTTTGGTGGTTAACTGGAGATAATAGTCTCCTGAGCTTTCCTATCTGGAATGGCTTTAAATCACCATCCTTAGATCTCACCTTCCTGAGTCATTAGGATGATATGCATGCTCTATCAGTACCTGGCTGATACAAATTTTTAATGGAATATTATTTAGTGACATCAATATGTGGCAGAAGAAATGTTGGTTTTCAGAAGTCAACATTTTGAAACAATGTGAAAAGGTGTATGAACACACAATTTGAAATGTTGATGTGATATGGAGAGAAAAGATAATTAAGAATAAACTATAAATTATTGGTATGATGCATGTGAGCTTGAAATTTTTTAAATAAATTGCCTTTTGAGCACTTAAAAAAATTTTTTTTTTTGGGTCCGGTCGTGGGGCCTGAACTCTGGGCCTGGGCACTGTCCCTCAGCTCTTCAGCTCAAGGCTAG